TGTTGAAATGACACAAGGATGCCTGATCTCCTTCTCCTCTTCTTGATCTACACCTCTTTCTCCTCAAAACCTTCAAGAACACACCAAGAGCACTTCAATCTCTCAAGGAAATAAGGGAAAAATGATGTTGGGGATTTCTGGGGGTGAATGGGGACGAGTTGGGGCGGAATGAGGGTTTAAATAGGGTGCAAACCCTTGAAACTTCAGGTTTCATCCAGCAGCGGTGACTCGCCGAGTCCACGATATGGACTCGCCGAGTCGCCCACTTAAACGTGTCCTGAGTCTCGTCCCTACTCGGCGAGTCGGACCTTATGACTCGCCGAGTCCAAGGCTAAAATAGGGCAATGCTCAAATAAAATTCACATACCAGAAACCAGGTGCTACAGGTTCCTTGACGAAATTTATGTAGTCGGAAATCCTTTGTTGATCCCTAGCAAAATCCGTCACTAACCCTTCGGTGAGTATTAGCGAAAAGGGTTTTTTCGACTCCCAATTTAGTTGCTAATCCACTGATTGCCTTTAGCGACGGAATTGTCCATCGCTGATACCTCATTTTCTAGCATTGCATTTAGAGCTTATGTCTGGTTGAACAAACGACTAATGAACGGGGTAATTCGCGTGTGTTAGGTTATACTAAGAGACAGTTGCCTATTATGCAGTTGTATTTGTGGTTGAAAATATATAATATGCGGTTGATTGTGTATGTATGTGTGTTATGTGGTAGAAAATGTGATTGAACATGTTGTTGAATGATTATAATATGTAGTTGTTTGTTATGTGATATGCATCGGACTGTGTACAACTCTTATTAACTCCGTATGACAACTCCTATTAACTCACGTAGAAAGGGTTGGACTTTGTTTCTTTTTTACTTTTATTCTATATGATCAGTATTGGTAGGTTAGGAGTTTGGCTTGGTGATATAATTTTGAATATGTTCTAATTTCTTACTTTAAGTACTTTTGCTTCCCCTATTGAGTTTTAAAGTAATGTTGTGGTTTGAAACATTTTTGAAATAATAAAATTAAGTCTTCCGTTGCTATTTTCCCTTAAAAGATGTTAAAATAAATGAAAAGAAAATATGGTCAAATTCACGACATTACAAATACTCACGCCTCATTTATTTTTGAGACCCTTACCTCTTCAGTGTATATATATATATATATATATATATATATATATATATATATATATATATATATATATATATATATATATATATAGAGAGAGAGAGAGAGAGAGAGAGAGAAAGAGAGAGAGATGTGGGTTCAATTGAGAAAATAAAAAAGGTTGAGAATAAAGAAATCATTTTCAGCCACTCATTTAATCTAAGCATAAAAAGATACGGTGACAAACTTGTAAATATGTTAATAACTTTCAATCTCAAATACGTAACTATAGAGAATTCGATAACAGTTCGTTCATCATCAAAAATTTTCTTCCAACCTTCAATAATCATCTAGATTTCTTCAACTAAACTAAAATTTCTTCGTTGTTCATGAAATTGGAATCGGAGTTCTAGACTCGCAGTCACAATCGACATTGAAGGATTCAAAATCGGTACTCACAGGTTCCCAATCGGATTTTCGGAAATCAAAATCAAAATGAGAAATCGATCAGACATAAGATGTCGCATCTGAAGTCGAAAACGGAAGTATATGATGATTTGGAATTGATAACTTGATGTTTTTAACATTTTTAAAATAGTTAACTTGTATGCACTCCAACTGCTTGATGAAATGCATAAACTAATTATCACGTTATATTCACATATGAATATGTTTTCTCACATGAATCAGTATATGATTATTAACAAATATGCAAGTCTGTATGTTATTCATATGTGAATAACATATAAAAATTATATATATTTGTCAAAATACCTTCAAATATTCATAAGTGAATATGCCTTGTAATATTCATATGTGAATATACTGTATAATATTCATAAGTGAATATATCATCTAATATTCACAAGTGAATATACTATGAAATATTCACACGTGATATACCATCTAATACTATGTAATATTCACATATGAAATATCATTTAATACTCATAAGTGAATATACCATCTAATATTCACAAGTGAATATACTATGTTAATATTCACAAGTGAATGCATCGTCCAATATAAAAATATGAATATACTATGTTTATTATATGCTATATTCATATATGAATGATACTTAAATTGTAAAAAAAATCATACTTTTTATTCATAAGTAAATAACGAATGTACTGTAATAAAACCTGATGCATTTTTATTCACTTATGAATAACGATAGTTGAAAATATAAAAAATTTAAAAAAATATTTTATCTTAAAACTATATCAATATGGATGTCTGTTTGTAGAGAATAAAAAATCATGAATTTTGGTATATTTAAAATCATTTTTTTGATAAAAATAGCTTCTAAAAATTAAAAAAAAAAAAAAAACTATGTTTTTGTATATATTAAGGTAATGATTAGCATAGTTTAAGGAAATATGTTTTGTTGGAAAACACATGTTCATTCCTTTCCCATTTTCGCCATTACGTTGGAGACTTTTGCGGCAAAAATAAATGATTGAGTGAGAATGATTCCTCCATTCTTAACTTTTTTTTCTCAATTGAACCTTTCTCTCTCTCTCTCTCTCTCTCTCTCTCTCTCTCTCTCTATATATATATATATATATATATATATATATATATATATATGTTTGTATGTATGTATGTATGTATGTATGTATGTGTGTGTGACATATTTTTTTTATTTGTTAAAACAACTAAACTACATTGTCTCTTTCAAAATATATATATATATATATATATATATATATATATATATATATATATATATATATATATATATATATATATATATATATATGTATGTATGTATGTATGTATGTATGTGAGTGTGTGACGTATTTTTTTTATTTGTTAAAACAACTAAACTACATTGTCTCTTTCAAAAAAAAAGTAAACTACATTGCTATATTTGTCTCTATAACAATGACGTGTTTAACATTTTTGTAGGTACAAGATTTGGAGACCTAAGTTCAACATGAGAGTATGCATTGGGATGGGATAACGAAATATTGAAAAGCATCTTTGTAAAGAATGTCAAGATTTCGAAGGCACTCTTCGAAATGAATGTGAAAAATCCGGATTGTGCCATAAAATGAAACTGAATGGTCTAAATTCCATCAACAGGCAAATATGAATGAACTTTTGAGGAAACTCATGCAAGGCATCCCCGACAGTATCCATTCAACAATCTATTTGACCCATCCTAGTAGTTTTATGTTTTTAGAATTTTGTATTGGATTTTTTAGATTTATGTTTATTATAGTGGTTTATACTGTAATTTTGTTCATTTATTAATCATTAGACTTTCTTTTTATATAATAGAATTCTTTTTTTGTAATTTTTATAATTTAAAACAATATTTATACGAATGGCGACGACTATCTGCCGCTAAAGTACTAAACCAACTGCTATCTGGCAATAGGGTCATCCATCGCTAACCGTATCAAATCTGTACACTACAAGAAAAGTCCTTTTAGTGACTAATTTTTGGTGACGACCTAAAATTTGGTCACTGAAAACATCTTTTAGTCACCAGAAATTAAGTGGTCACTGAATTTTGATAATCCTACAAATTTAATGACCAATTCAATGTGGTGGTTACTAATTTGGTCCCTAAACCGCGAAAAATTAAACTACTTTTGTTTCATATCATAACTATTTAGTGACAAAAAATAATGATCACTATGTTAACTATATAGTGACTAAGAATAATGGTCAATACGTTAGAAGCTTAGTGACGAAAAAGTGGTCATTGTATTGGAGGTTTAGTGACTAAAAGTGGTCACTGAATATATATATATATATATATATATATATATATATATATATATATATATATATATATATATATATATATATATATATATATAGTTAATAAAAATTATAATATTTTTATTAATATTTTTTATTTTTGAAAATGACAAGAGTTTGTATTTTTTTTAGACATAATTTTGCAAAGAATGGTTATATTGAGTTTTGCTTATCAAACATATTTATTATAATAATATTTGGAAAAAATTAGAAAAAAACACAATAGAAAAACAAAGCTTACAATCAAAACCTAATGGTCCGCAAAGAAAATAAGTTGCAATATTTATGGTCCAGGATCCATACTGATAAATAAATTAATATTTTACTGTTGGCCACGTGGTTGACACATGGATCAACTACATCCTAATTTCAATCCCTTGCTCTAACAAGTGCTCTTTTACCGACTGAATCGGTACCTGCAAACAAAATAACAAATGAAAAATATTGTTATATTAATTAATATTAAAAATAAAACAATATAATATATATATATATACTTTTTGTAAAAGAGAAATCATGGGTTGGATTTGTATTTTGACTAAATAAAAAAGATTAAAACCCTTTTCAATTTCTAGATTCTGAATTGAATAAGCAACCAATATTGATAATTGTTCATGGAGCAGCAAAAGAATGATTTTGTATCTTATGAAACTGCCGAACAGATCATGCTCCGGTGGAACGCTACAGCTTCAGAAGATGCCATGGTTCAAATGATCTTTGAAGGTGATCTCCAAGAGATCAATCGATACTTACAAGCAACCGATCGAATCTAACTATCCATGGAGTCAACTACTCTATCGGACGATGACGGAGCCGTCGGAGTCCAGGAGCAGTCAAATAAAATCAACGACGGTATTCAGATTGCCATGGCTAGACTTGAGGATGAGTTTCGTAACATACTCATCTCCCACGCTAGTCCCGTCGAACAGAGACACTCACTGAGTCGATGTCATCAGCTCACTTGACTCTTAGAACCAGCACCTCCATTAGCGAGTTTCCAGGAAACGAAGATTACATCAGCCGAGGTGAAGAAGGCTCCATATCCCGAGACGACTCTTCTTCTCTAGTCTAGAACAAGGCGAGAGTAGCAATACAATCTTGAGCTACACATCTATGAGTAGTATTCGCGAGATAGATCTGATTCCTTCCGATGTCGTATGTGATCTTCGCAGCATCGCGGAGCGTATGATCGCCGCCGACTACTTCCAATAGTGCGTCCTAGTGTACGGTAGTGTCCGGAAGTCTGTGGTGGACGTGTGCTTCAAAAATCTTAGAGTTGAGAAATTAAGCACCAGTTATTTCCAAAGGATGGAATGGGAGGCTTTGAATACGAAGATTGGGACGCGGATGTGTGCAACGAAAATGTGTGTTAGGGTTTTGTTCGCAAGAGAGAAGAGACTCTTCGAGCACATCTTCGAAGGTCTAGGAACAGCGACAAATGATGCCTGTTTCATGGAAACCGTTAAAGGTCTCGCGGTTCAGCTATTTAACTTTGTCGAAGCCATTACTATCAGCCGTTGTGCTCCGGAGAAGCTATTTAAGATCCTGGATTTACACGATACCTTCTATGATTTGTTACCTGATATCAACACTGTTTTCGACGGAAAATCAGCCGAATCAATTAGAGTTCAAGTGATGGAGATTCTCTCGAGGCTGGCAGAAGCAGCTAGAGGAATGATAAACGAGTTCGAAAATGCAGTTCTTAGTGAGCCGTCTAAATTTCCCTTCCCCGGAGGAACGATTGATCCATGAACCAGATGCGTGATGAACTACATAAGCTTAATTTTAGATTACAAGAAAACCCTAGACGCATTAATCGTGTCTAGACCTGCAACTGGTTCTCGCTACTTAGACGAGCAAACTACTACAAACATGGATTTCACAGACCACCAAGAGGAATCTCGATTAGCACTCCATTTGATTTGGATCATAATGATTTCCTACATGAGCTGAAGCAAAATCGAATGATGAACTAAGGACCATCAGTCATCAATAATATAAGTGCCATCATGCTAGTTTTAGATTTACAGTAAAAACTACAGAAAAACGGTAACCCACATAGTGTACTATTGAGTTCCACAAACAATTAGTACACAAAAATTAAGCAACATCAGTTGTCGCTTCAGCTGACCAGAACTATGTTTTTCTTCTAATGTTGGAAACAATCTGCAGAACTGCATCTGGTTCTACCCAACCCTTTCTCACCCCTTTATGTTTTTTAGACAAATATCAAAATTCTTCACAATTGACTTTAAAGATATATAGCATCAGTGTAGGATTTTTTTTTTTTTTTGAATTTTGCAGGTGGTTAGAGTACCTGTTACTTTAAATGGAGATCTCAAGAACCAGTTTGTGGAACCTAATGTTGGTTTTGGTACAGTTTGCAAGGTATCATTATGCATCCCACAATTGACTTTAAAGATATATAGTTATAGACATGTCACCTTTCTTGATTATTTTCTCGGTTGACTCTCAACTCATTAGCAACATGCTCTTTCTGCTGACATCATTATACATCTTGTAATTTAACAAAAGGTAAATCCACACAATTGAAAAAAAGTTTCATTTTCTTTTCTTACTTTTTAGCAAAAATTAAGCAATCAAGAAATGTTTTTTCTTCATTGATCAGTACTATTATTTTGTTCGGCTAATGGGTCAGAAGGCCTCACATGTTGCCTTGGAATGCACTCTGCAATCACATCTTAACATGGTAGTTGTTTCACCTCATTTCTTATTGGATTGAGTCATTTATAGACATATATTTACATAGTTTTAACCTTTTTTTATAGGTTATTCTTGGTGAGGAAGTTGTTGCTTCAAAACTTACCATTTTTTACTTAACAGGAGAACCAACACAAAAGCAGGCAATATAGGTTGCACCTTAATTTCAAAAAAATTTCTACAAAAGAGGAAACAGTCAATCATCCTCCAAATAGTGTAATCAAAGCTGATTGGGTAAAACTATATCAAAAATTTGCAAGTGAAGAATTTCAGGTTTTTACTTCTTTACCAAATTATATCAAGAAATGATAAATGACATAAATGGTCATTGAGTTTTTACTTTGCATAGTTACAGAATTGGTCCCTATGTATTCAATTTGCAAAACTTTAAAATTGGTCCATGTGTTTTTTGGTTTGGAAATATGATAGAAACAACCATTGTGTTTTTTATTTTTCAAAGTTTACAGAAATGGTCCCTATGTTTTTACTTTGTAGAATTACAGGAATGGTCCCTGTGTAATATTGTGGACAAGTGACAGAAATGGTCCCTATTTTTTTGATTTGCAAATATAACAGAAACAACCCTTGTGCTTTTTTATTTTGCAAAATTCATAGAAATGGTTCCTATGTTTTTACTTCACATAATTACAGAAATCTCCATGTGTCTTTACATTTTACATGACATAATCCTTTTCACTTCTTTAATTGTTGCAGAAAGTTAGCATTAAAAATAAGAACAAATTATTTAATCAAGTTCCACGTGTTGTTGGCACAATTTCATTTACAAGGATTGTTGACAAATATATATCTTAAATCTTTCATTACATTGTCAGATTTTTCTTCCTTTAGTTCAACTTTGTTATATATATATATATATATATATATATATATATATATATATATATATATATATATATATATTGACAAACTTATGGTGAACAACCTTTTGAAACAGAAAAACAAAGAAAGAGAAGTATCATTTATTTAACGTTACAAGATTGGACATTTTCAAAAAAGAAAAATCAAATGATCAATGAGAAGGCCAAAGAAATTTGGGTATTTTTAATATCTTGACATACTTATGAATAATTTTTGTTTTTTACTTTTTATCTAAATTGTTTTTTATGCAGAATGAATTGCTAAATGAGGTCGGATGAAATTTGTATGAAAAAACTACATTGTATATCGGGATATATAAATGGGCGTTTTGTTTCGACAAAACAAGTTTTAGGCACAAACAAGTTGCAAAAGGAACTTGAATTAAAAAAGGAAAAAACAAAAGCTTTAGAGGAGGAAATTCGTGTAATTAAAGAAGAGCAATTACAATTTCAAGATGAGCGGATCAA